ATGTTAGCGACCAATTTAGCTGTTATAGGAGCTCTGCTCTTATCCTTCTTGTCCTGTCGGGCGTATGGGAAGCAAGGAATAACAGCGGTAACGCGCGACGCCGATGCGATTTTACAAGCATTTATCATAATAAGTAGCTCCATTAAGTTGTCATTAATTTCACCGCTTCCACTTTGCACAATATAAACATCTTCGCCTCGTACAGATTCACCTATTTCCACACACGTTTCCATGTTACTGAATTTTTTGGTTACCACCTTGCCGAGGTCGATGCCGAGTCGGTCTACGATTTTCTGAGCTAAGTCAGGATGCGAGCTACCACTGAATACTTTGATGTTCGGCATTCTGGTTGTTAGGGGTAACGCGGCGTGATCTAATTTATTCACTACTTCTTCAAGTGTAATACTTGATTTCATCAGCACCGGACAACTGCCCACCGCTCTGTTGCCCGTAGTTAACGCAGCTATACTGAGATATCGAGATTAGAGATGAACTATTTATGTACTTAATATTGATAAGGAATTTAATGACAACGTGGGGCTTGCTTTAAAATCACTTAAACACAATAATACGCCGCAGACCACGGGGCCTTAAACTTTCAAAGAGTAGCAAAGCGAGTTTGCACGCACGTTTTATTATTTCGGTTTACAAAATGACAATACCAAATTAAAATTACTATGACAGATTGGAAAGGACAATATCACAAACTCCCGAGTATCCAGGAGAAACTTGTAATATTTAATGGTAAAATAAATAATAACTGAAGAAAAACTAAACTCTTAATACTTTTAAAGTTTGGACTTATTCCATGAAATGTGTTTACATGAATACTATGAGACCGGATTAAAACGTTATAAGAAACCTTATTATGTAAGTCATAAGCCCTCGAGTAAAATTATCCGAACTGGGTTGATAAAAATTGTATTTGTTTTTCTTCAATCAATCCATTCAGTTTTGATTAATCCGTAATACGTAATAATAGACGAAAATTCTTTTTGCAAGACATTTGATAAAAACATTTATTTTCAAAATCTACTACAATATTGTGTAATTTTCGGGAACTGTACCTTTGCTTTTAACGGAAAAAAATAAAGAGCCTGTCAAACGTCAATGTCACACCTGTGTCATTGTCAACTTTGTGCGCGAAAGTGCGAAAGTAAATAAGATGTGTTTCAAATCTTAAAGAAAGTAATAAATAATTTAACTTAACAATTATCATGTGAATTTCATGTTATACATAAAAATGGATAAACCGAAGAAAAAGGTAAACTTAGACCGTTGCTTAGAATGGCTCAAGAAACAAAATGAACAGGAACCAAAAAAGTTGGCATTGCAAAACAAAAACGATATACAATTTATTATACAAACTAACGCTGATAGAAAGAACTTTCTCCTCGCCGCTGCTGAAGATGAGGCTACTGTGCCCTCGGGTGTTGATGATCAGGAAACAGAGCCTAAACCAATTGTGAGTAATTAAAAATTTAACAATTTTAAAATACCACATTGTTTAAGAAAACCTTTAAAAAATTAATAACACTCTGTATGAAAATTTACGTCACTATTCATTTACATTTCTCGGTAATATCTTTTATTTCGTTTTTCAGCCATTGCGTGAATTACGACGATCAGGTTTAGTATTAGAATGCGAATGGCTGTCGTGTCGCTGCAAGTTTTCTGAGTACGAGGAATTCCAAAAACATGTTGCGAAACATGTTTCTGATCTGCATCTCATACCAAAAGAAGATAAATCTAGTAAGTATTTACAAAAATATCTGTTATATGTTATTTTTGAAGTATTTATAACATGTGTTAATAAATGTCTTCTGTTAGATATAATCCTTACCATAAACAAGTTAAACAGTGGGTCAAATATGTACATTTTAAAATACTTCAACCTTTCTAAAAAGTGACTAACATCTACTGTGGATATTTGACAAATCATCATCATGCTCCTTATTCTACTCCCGTTGGGTCAGACCACAGGTTTTTGTCCTCCAAATAACTCTATCATATATCTCAGTCATCACTCCCTTTTTGATCATGTCTCCTTTCAGGCATTCCATCCATCTCTTTCTAGGTTTACCCTTACCGGTGTACCTCCACTTCATAACTAACAATCTCCTTGTAACATGTGATTCATCCCTCATAACATGCCCATACCATGCTAACCTTTTATTCCTTACCTTCTCTACCACTGGGGCTACTCTCAAATGGACAAGTAATGGCTATTAAAACATTTTTAGGGACAAATTATCTTTTGTTTAATAACCTTAAAAAATGTATAATTTCACCAAACTGCCAAAGCAGTTTATTGGCAAAATCTGATGAAGTCTTAATGCTTAAGGATGGGTTTTAATCATTACTTTAAATTTAATAATATTATTCTGCAATAATAAGATTTTTGTAGTGTAAGAAATTAGTTTTAAATGTAACCTTTTCAGATTCATACATTCAACACTAAATGCAACAAACATATTTCATCTCTAGTCATTTTAGTAATGTTAAAGTAGTCATTAAATTCTAGTAATTTTAGCATTTTACGTCTATTAGCTAAGCAAAATCTTAAAAAGGCCAAAAATTGTGATAGTATTTTTTTTTAAATCGTAAGGTAGTATTAAGAAATTTGACAAAAACCTTAAAGTAAAGAAATAAAGAGTTCCATTTGCACCCAACGTCCCTTTCCCAAAAACATGATAGGGGGAACGAGAGGGTGGCATAGCCTACCAAAAAAAAACATATTTTAACATCTACATTCTAAAATTTCAGATCAATATTTTTGCTTATGGGATGTATGTGGACATAAGACTGTTGACTTATCAGAGATGGTCCGTCATATCAACTATCATGCATATCACGCGAAGCTCTTGGCTATTGGTTTAAATGGACGAGCCACACTGAACTTGGCTGAGTGTAAGAAAGACTCAAGTAAAAGGAACCAATTGCCCAGTAAAATTAGTGAACATTCCTGCTTATGGATTGGATGTACAAACAGTTATCAAGCAATAGAGGTAAATATTCTTTACTAATGTAATATAGCGTAAACACATTTTGTTATGCAAGATGTCAGCAATAACAGCATATTTTTAAATTATTTCTTTTCTTACTAAGAAAGTAAAGAAAATTTCACATTTGTGAAAGTTTAGACAGATGGATATTTAATAGAGGGTGTACTGTTAAAGGATGAATGGATCTCGATGAAGTTTTCACAGTGGTAGTGACCGCTTTAACATCTTAGCACTGCAGGGCCAGCACGCCCCCAGTAATACCACGACCACACAGAAGACAGCCGTGAAATGGAAGCAATTCCGTGTTTCGTCTGATGAGTGTGGTGCCGGAGGC